AGTTCAGTGATTATATTTTTAGTTTATAGAAGCTTTATTCTTTCAATAGCAACTTCTCAGTTTATGGGGAAAAATAACCTTGAATTCTCCGAGGAAGCAAATTCCTTTAAAAAGATCTCTTGGCACAATTCTCTTATTATAATCGTAGTTTGTGTATTTGGCTTTGGTAATTTTTTTGCCCATTTTTATATTGGGCCATCTATCTTTTTCATACTGATTTGTAGGAGTTCATTACATATCCCAGATAACGCAGATTTGTTTTTAATATTTAAGTTATTTAATAAGTACAGAAGATTATAACAGGTAAGGTATAGGTAAATAAACATGTATGTAGCCATCATGTAAGTTAAGAAATCGTTCATTTCATTAGGTCAGCAGGGTGCCCTTTCCTGATTTTATCCACAGAATGTAGAAATATAAAATGATATTTTTATTTATGTATAAGTTTTCATATATTTAAAAATTTTATACAAATGGAATGATCCTGTATTTGGGTTTTTTTTGTGTGTGTTAATCATCGTTTTTTATTTTCCATTGTATGAATACCAGTTTATCCATTCTCTTGTTGGAAATTTGTGTAGTTTCCATTTTTTTCCTATTACAGGTCCCCAAATTCCTTATTCAAATTTCTGAAACAAAATGTTCTGAAAATGCAAAAAAAGAAAAATTCTATAAACTTAATCTGCACTAATTTGACACTATTTGTGATTTTTATTGATTTCATTTAGTGAAAATACTTGTATGTTTCATTGTGGAAATTCTAGGAGTAGAATTGCTGGGATTTAAGGATATGTGCGTCTTCAACAGTACTGGATGATGCCACATTATTTTCCAAAGAGGATTGTATTGTTGAGAGGATTTCTCCAACAATGTAGAAGTTTTCATTACTTAGCTTTCTTGCTGACACTTTTATCAAGTTGAAAGTTTTTGCCAATGAGTAAAAATTTCACTTGTTGGTTTTTAAATTTTCCCTTTGAATATGTAATGGAGGTGAGCATCTTTTATTATGCTTACTAACATTTTCTTAACCCTTCTGAGATTCTGTTCTCTTGTCCATGTTTGTACTAGGTTTAAAAAAACTTTTTCTTGCTAATTTGTCATAGTTCTACAATTTGATCTGTCTGTGCTTTCTGGATTCTAATCTTTTAATCTGGGCTAACAGCACCATCACATTGTCTTAGGTACTCCAACTCTGTAACAACTTTCACAAAAACAAACTTCTGTTGATAATAGGGTATTCATGTAGGAAATACATGGATCATGAGAATACATCTGGATAAATTTTTTCAGTGAAACCAAATGCAGATGAAGAAAATAGAACATTACCAGGACTCTAGAGACTCCCCTTGAGTTACCTCCCAGTGACTAATCTCTGTCTCCTCAAAGATAGTATTGGCTTGACAGTAGTCTTAGATTAGTTTTGTCTATTTTTTGAAACTTAAATAAATGGAACTGTATAATGTATATATTTTTTGTGTCTGACTTTTTCCCTCAATTTTGTTTGCAAGATTCATTGGTATGTAGTTGTAATTTGTTCATTCTCTTCCACTAGCAAAATAATAAGAGTTCCAGTTGCTTCATGTTCTTTCTTGTCCACTCTTTTAATCTTAAACATTTTAGTGAATGTTTAATGGTTTTAATTTGTATTCTCCTAATGAGTAAGGATGTTAAGCCCCTTTTAATATGTTTATTGGCCATTTGGATATCTTTTGTGACATGGCTTTGCCAATTTTTTTGCCATCTATCTTTTTCATACTGATTTGTAGGAGTTCATTACATATCCCAGATAACAGGTCTTCCAGGTTATATTTTGCAAATAATCTTCTCGTTTCCCCAGCCCTGTAAGTCTGTTCAAAGATCTTTACTTCTCAACCTATCCACTGCCCTTTTCCCATTGGCAGATATTTCCAGGGAGTTGGACTCCATGGAAGTGTTGGACTCCATTTTCTACACTTCCCTTCTTTCCACAGCATTGGCCTCTCAGGTCCTTGCTGACTTTATAGTGCTTCATGTCTTCAAATGGTTGTTTTTCATATTACCTTCAGTTTTTAAATTTTCATAGGGAAGGTTGGTCTCAAACAGTTGACTCAATCATTGAGGGACAAGAAGTAGGCCAACTCCTTCTGCCTTGTAGTTCTTCAGGGTACTTCTTGGCTGTTTGATCCTTTGCATAATTTAAAAATCATTTTTCTAAGTTATAATAGACACACACAAACATGCATGATCTGTTGGGATTTTGATGGGAAATGCATTGAATCTGTAAATCAGTTTGGAGAGAACTAAGTTTTCTTAACCATGAACATTGTAATCTCCATTTATTTAGGTCTTTTACGATGTCTTTCATAAAGTTTTATAATTTTCTTCAACTAAGCTATTGCAAATATTATGTTAGATGTATTTTTAGGTACTTTGTTTTTGTATCGAATGATAAATGGTATCTTTTCATAATTTCTACCTTGCTGGTGTATAGAAGTACAGTTTTGACTTTGTGTAATAACCTTGCTCTACTCCTAATTGTGATAAGTTATCTATAGAATTCTTTTGGATTTTTTGTGTAGACAGACCTATCTGTGAATAATGACCTCTCTGTTTCCTTCTTTCCAATTCTTATGCTTTTTTTTCTTTCTTTTTCTTGTCTTAATGTGCTGGCTAGGATCTCCAGTACAATGTTGAATAGAAGCGGTGATGGGGGCATCCTGATCTTGTTCCTGATTTTAAAGGGAATGCTTTCAAAGTTTCACAGTTAAGTATGATGCTTGCTGTAGGTTTATTGTAGATAATCTTTTCAGGTTAAGGATGTTCCTTTCTGTTACTAGTTTGCTAATTAAAAAAAGTCATGAATGGATGTTGAATTTTATCAAAAGCCTTCTCTGCATTTTTTGAGAAGATGATGTTTTTCTTTTGTACCTGTTAACAGGGTGAAATTCGTGTGTTTCAAGCATAAAGCATAAAGTCAATCCTGGTTTGTCTCTTTTTTCATTATTGGACTCAAACTGAAGAGAGTTAATTTAAGATTTTTGCTTCTAATAATTAGTAATATTGACCTATAAAAAATATACTCTTTTTTCTGGAAGAATTTATGTAAGATTAGAATGATCTTTTATGTGTTTGGTAGAATTCCCCGATAAAATTGTTACTGGTGTTTTCTTTGTGTGACACTGCTTAACCACTAATTCAATTGGTTTGCTTATAGGATTGTTCATATTTCAATTTTTAAGCCAGTTTTGGTAGGTTATACATTTATAAGAAGTTGTTTATTTCATTCATGTTCTTGAATTTATGGTATTAAGTTGTTAATCTCTAATTTTGTAGTACCTGTAGTTGATGTCCCTTTTATCTTTCTTCTTTTAATGCCTTTTTCTCTTGATCAGTATTAAAAACACTAAAAATTTACCAATTTTTTAAAGACTTTTCAAAGATCAAATTTTGATTTTTTTTTATGCTTTTCAATGTATCCCTTCCCCCATTTCATTAATTCTGCTCTTTATTTACTTTATACTTTTTTGAGGGTTTATTTTTATTTTTTCTCTAATTTCTTAAGTTGGATGCCTTGCTTTTTAATTTTCAGCATTTTAACATAGGTCTCCATTGTTTTCCCTGCATCACACAAGTTTTGATGTGCAGTGTTTTCATTATTTTTCACTCGTATTTTTCTGTTTTTCACTCTGAATTTGAGTTATTTAAAAATTTTTATTTCTAAACATATGGGAGTTTCTTTAGTTATTGATTTGTAAATGTGTTGTAATTTGGAAGCATGATACATATGATAGTGAGGTTTTGAAATCTGTTAAGACTGTGGTCAGTTTTTATTTTTGTTTGTACTCGGAAGAGAAAATGTATTTTCCAATTAAAAGCACACAGTTTTATATATGTCTAGTAGTTAGGCTTGTTAATTCTGTTCACATGTTCCATATGTTTTTAGAGAGCAGAAGTATGTTAATCTTTTAGAAGAATATTTTTTCCCCAGGTTTTTTTGTAGTTTTACTAATTTTTAAAATACATTTTAAATTGTTGCTAGTACGTGAAAGTTTAAGCTTTTATTTTCCTGTTGAATTGAGCTTTTAATCTCTGTATTGACTTTATGTCTTTGAATGCTCTTTGTGTTATACACTACTGTTTCATATTATACCTGTACTATTTTCTTTTTGGTCAACTAGTTTTGCCCGATTTTTAAAATTCTCCTTCCCCCTACATTTTTGTGTTCTTTTAGTTTTCTCTCCTGTGAATATCATGCTATTGGATTAAAAATATTAATCTGCTCTAGTAATCTTGGTCTTTGTAATTTTAAATTAAGCTTTTTATTAAGAAAATTGTCAATTTACTCACAGTTGTGAGAAGTAGTACAGACATTTCATGTACTCTCTACCAAGTTTCTCACAGTGGTAATATCTTGCAAAACTATAGAACAGTATCACAACAATACTACAAGGATATTGACACAATCAAGATAATAGACCATTTCCATCACTATAAGGATCCCTCTTATTGTCATTTTTAATGCCACACCCACTTCCTTCCCATCCCCTTAATAACTCGGACCCAGCCATCTGTTTTTCCTTTGTATGGTTTTATCTTTTACAAGAATGTTATATAAATGGAATCATACAGTATGTTACCTTTTGGGCTTGGCTTTTTTCACTCAACATTGTTCTCTGGAGATTCATTTATGTTGTTTTATGTGTTGATAGCTCATCCCTTTTTGTTGCTGAGTTGTATTTCATGGTTTGGATTTGTTTAACTATTTACCTGTTGAAAGACATCCATGTTGTTTGAGAGTTTTGGGCTGTTATAAATAAAAGTGCTTTAAGATTTCTGCATAGGTTTTTTTGTGAACATAAGTTTTAATTTCTCTGGGATAAAAGTACCCAGGAGTGCAATTCCTGGGTTGTATGGTTATTGTATATATAGTTTTTTTTAAGAACCTGCCAAACTGTTTTCCAGAGTGGCTGTACCATTTTACATCCCTACCAGCAATGTATGGAGTGATCCAGTTTCTCTGCATCCTCGCCAGCATTTGGTGTTATCACTGTTTTTCATTTTAGTCATTCTGGTATGTATCTGGTGATACCTCAGTGAGGTTTTAATTTGCACTCCCGTAGTGGCTAATGATAACATATTTTCATGTGCTTATTTTTTATCTCTATATCCTTATTGATGAAATGTCTCTTCTTGCCTTTTGTCCTTTTTTAAATTGGATTTTTTTTTCTGTTGGGGTTTGAGAGTTCTAGATATATTCTAGATACTCATCCTTTGTTGGATAGGTGGTTTGCAAATACTGTCGCCAAGCCTGTTGATTGTTTTTTCATATTTTTAACAGGGTCTCGCAGAGCACAAGTTTTTAATTTTGGTCAAGTCTAGTGTTTATTTTTTTCTTTTGTGGCTTTTGCTTTGAATGTCAAGTCTAAGTAAACTCTTTGCCTAGCCTTAGTTCCTGAAGATTTTCTTCTGTGTTTTTTCCTGAAAGTTTTATAGTTTTATTCTAACATGTAAGTTCGTGATGCATTTGGAGTTAATTTTTGTATAAAATGTAAGACATAGTTGGATGTATAATTTGCTTCAGCAGTCTTTCCTCCATTGAGTTACTTTTGCACCTTTGTCAAAAACTATTTTGGCATATTGTGTAGGTCTGTTTCTGGGTTCTCTGTTCTGTTCCATAGACCTATGTGTTACCTTTGCTAACACCACATAGTCTTGATTACAGAGCCAAGTTGTGAAATGGAATGGACTAATTTCTATTTTTTCCAAATTGTTTTCGCTCTTCTAGTTCCTTTGCCTTTCCATATAAATTTTAGAATAATCTTAAATATAAAAACGTCTTAGTGGGATTTGGGTTGAAATTGTGTTAAATCTGTGTCTGTTTAGGGAAAATTGATGTAGTTTCTTTGTTGAGTGTTAAAAGCCATTGGAGAATCCATTCGTTTAAATTTTCTTAGACTTTTTTTATTAACTTTTTATAGTTTTCAGTATACAAGTCGTGTATGTGTTTTGTTATATTCGTAAACATGTATTTTCATTTTTTTGGAGTGATTATAAATAGTACTGTGTTTTTAACTTGTTTCCGTATGTTCTTTGTTAGTATATAGGGATGTGGTTGGTATTTGTGTGTTGCTCTTGTCTCCTGCAACTTTGCTGAACTCATATTGGTTCTAAGAGTCATTTTATAGATACTTTGGGATCTGCAAATACAGGCAATTAAAAATTTTTTTTTTCTTTCCAACCTGTATGCCTTTTATTTCCTCTTGTCTTTTCCCTTATCCAGAACTTACAGCACTGTTCTGATTAATATGGTGAGAATTGACATTCTTGTCTTGTTCCCAATCTTAGCTAATGCATTCAGTCTTTTAAGTGAAATGTGAGCTATAGATTTTTTTGTAGGTGATTTCTATCAAGTTGAGGAAGTTCTCTGTTCCTGTTCTTCGGAGAATTTTTATCGTGACTGGGTGTTGAGTTTGTCAGATGCTTTTTCTGCATTGACTGTTACGATCATGTGGTTTTCTTTTTTTAGCTATTAATAAGGGTATACTACCACAAAAAAGAGGGGGGGTATACTATATTGATTTCAAACATTGAACCAGCCTTGTAGTCCTGGAATAAACCTCACTGGTCGTGGTATATAATTCTTTTTAATATATTACTAAATTCTGTTTGCTAACATTTTGTTAAGTGTTTTAGCATCTGTATTTGTAATGGTTTGTAGTCTTATTTTTCATACTGTTTTTGTTTAGTTTTGCCATCAGGGTAATGTTAGCTTTATAAAATGAATTTGGAAGTATTCTCTCATCTTCTATTTTCTGGAAGAAATTAGATAAAAGAAATTAGATCAGATTGGTGTTAATTCTTTAAATGTTTGGGTAGAACTTTCCAGTAAAACCATTTAGGCCTGATCATTTATTTTTTGGGAGTTTTATTTTTCAGTTAATTTTTTTGAAGATTTTATTTATTTATTAGTTTGAGTAGCAGGGGGAGGGATAGAGGGGGAGAGAGAATCTCAAGCAGACTCCATGCTGAGTGTGGAGCCTCATGTGGGGCTTGATCTCACGACCCTGAGATCATGACCTGAGCCAGAATCAAGAGTTGGATGCTTAACTGAGCCACCCAGGTGCCCCAGTTTTTGGGAATTTTAAAATTATGAATTAAATTTCCTGAGTAGTTGGAGGGGTATTCAAGCGATCTCTTTCATATTGTGTGAGTTTCCTAATTTGTATTTTTCAAGGAATTGGCCCTTTTCATATAAATTGCCAAATTCATGTGTATAGTTGTTCTTAGTATTCCTGTATTTTTTTTGATGTTTGTGGGTTTCTGTGGTGATATTCACTAATTTTGCTGTTTTAATTGGAAAGTTTATTTCATTTTTATTTGTTGGAATTATTAGTATATTTGCATTTATCCTTACTCCTTCATCTTGTGCTATCCTACTTTTTCTGTGCTTTGTCTCTCCATCTGTTTTCTTGCCGCCTTTTGGGCTGATTTTTTTTCCTGCCCTCTTTCTCATGTTTTCTGCCATTTACATGTGTGAAATTACATTGTTTTGTTTTCTCACATACTCTTGGAGTTTTCTTGAATTTTCTCTTGAAATTTTAATACATGTCTCTAAGTTTAAAACTATCTTTTCCTTTCTTACAGGATACTTTAAACTGCTTCCCACTCTGCCAACTTACATGCATGCCATTGCCGCACAGTTTTGTTCTGTCATTTCTTAGCCTTACAAATTTGATATTATAATTTTATACAATAAATGTTTAAGCTAATAACTTTCCTCCCCGGGGCTTGTCATTTTGTTTGGTCATCGTTCTGCTATGTTAGATTCCCTTAGATTCTTCTGGTTCAGCATTGATGGGCTTTTTACTTTCCCTTCTCCTGTGTTAGACACGCTTTCTTACTCATGGCTTTTGCACCTGCTGCATCCGAGGTCTTGGAATGCTTTTCCTCAGATATTCTTTGGGTGTCTTCTTAATCCTTCAGTTACTTATAGTTACCTCCTGAGGAAGACCTTCTCTCTTTAAAAATGCAAATCCTTTACCTCTTCATTCTGTTTCCTTTTCTCCCATTATTTTTGTCCTTTGTATTCATCACCACCTGCCATACTATAGATTTTATTTTTTATGGTAAATTTTAATCTGTCAAGCTCCTCAACTCAGTCATTCATTGGAATTTTATTATATTTATAGAATTTAGGGGCATTGACATCTTTTCAGTATTTACTGTTTTTATCTAGTAACAGGATACATTTCTTAACTTATTCAAGGGTTCTTTTGTGTCTTGTTTTATGTAGCTATAGGAAAATTTTTAAATTTATGCCTTTGCATTTTAGATTTTGTTATTAGACTTATTTTTTTTTTTTAAATACTGTTTTTCCTGATCAGTCACTCGAAAATCTGTTTGATGTATAGATAAGTCAGTGAATTTTCTTAACTTATTATTAGGTCTTATTTTTCAGTGGATTTTTAAATATTTTCAGTGTAGAAAATTCTGTCATTTGTAAATTATAAATATTGCTTTTCTTAAAATCTGTATTGTCTAGACACTTCAGAATAATCTTAGATGAGAAAACATCTTTTATAAGTCTTTATTTCTAGTGTTTAATCTTTAAGGATGATATTTGTTCTTGATTTCTGATAGCTACCCTTTCTCATGTTAACAGAGTTTCATTCTATTCCTTTTTATTGAGAGGTTTTATCAGTAATGGGTAGGACTTATTCAAATGCCCTTTTGGCATTTATGCGGATTAATCATATGGCTTTTTTTGAGCTAATAAATCTTTTTGTATTGCTTTTCTTACTTTAACAATTTTCAGAATAATGAGTTGGTTTCTCAACATCCTGTAACAGAAATCAGTGAGGTTTTTTTTTAAAGTATTGTTATGAACAAATGATTTTTAATATATTTGATGTGTTTGAATTGAAGCAGTTATTGTTCTCTTTGATGGTTAGAATGTCTTGTCTTGGGCTACTGAATTGTTTCTGTGTCCTTCTGACAAGATTCCAGTAGCCTTTTTTTTTTTTTTTTTAAAGATTTTATTTATTTATTCATGAGAGAGAGAGAGAGGCAGAGGGAGGAGCAGGCTCCCAAGGAGCAGGGAGCCCGATGCGGGGACTCTATCCCAGGACCCTGAGATCATGACCTGAGCCGAAGGCAGACGCTTAACCATCTGAGCCACCCAGGCGCCCAAGATTCCAGTAGTCTTTGATAACTTCTTTGCTTTCTGGTATGATGAAATGTTCTAGGCTCATCTTGTGGATTTTCTATCCCAGACTTGCAATTAGCTATTTACTCAAGGAACCTCCGTTCCTTTTGTCAGAAATAGTATTTATACCACAATCTATTTTTTCCTGCCTCAGACAATTTTTGCTTGATTAAATCTAGAATACTTTTAGATTTATGGAAAAGTTGGGAAGATAGTATAGAGAGTTGCTATATAACCCACAACTAGTTTCCCCCATTCAAGCAAACTTTTTACTGTGGAAACATTCTTACAAGGTAGAGAATTCTCCCTTGTACCCTGTATCTAGCTTCAGCAATGAACAGCTCTTAATCTTTTTTTCGTGTCTCCACTCATTCCCCGCAATAATTTTTTTTTCAAGTTTCAGGTAAGATTTTTTATTATTTTCTTAATCGAGGTATTATTGATATCTGACAGTATATAGTTTCAGGTGTACAGTATTTGTACGCATTGCAAAGTGATTACCACAATAAATCATCACCTTAGGGTTACCAAAAATATTTTTCTTGTGATGATAACTTTTAAGATCTCTCTTGGCAACTTTCAAATATACAATAATTCATGGTTGGTTGGTTTGTTTTTTATCCTTTAATTCTTTACTCTTTTGAGGGTGTGTGTTTGTTACTTTTTTGTTTTTTGAACTACTTAATTGTACATTTTGTGTAATAATAGAAGCATTTAGGGAGATGTTTTCCCTAGCTTTGGCTTTATTTATAGATTTTGAAATGTAGTATTCTCTTTATTGTTTCTCTTAATAGTTGATTTTCAGTTTTGATTCCTTCAGCCTGAGTTAATTTAGTCAGTGTGTTGTAAGGAAGAGATCCCACCTATGGTCTCTCAAGTAAAAGGGATTTAATTATAGGGAAAATGTGAATTCACAGGGATACAGTGCTAGGAACTAAGGCCTCCTATGACCTCTGAAATGGGCAGAAGTTAGGAATTGGAGTATCTTTCTAATTTGTTGCATAGTTTCTCTTATGGGTTGGTCAGTCCTTTGATGTATTGATTATATATCTGGTGGCTTTTCTTTATCCATAACTACTTATAAGTGAAGATGTAAATTGTTTTAATATTATAGTTGGGATAGGCAGTGTTAATAATGTGATCTATCAGTTTCCATCAGCAGTTCCTTTCCTTACCTCATATTATACATCCTAGCGGATGGAGTATCTATTTACAAAGTTTGTGCTGATCTTTACCATGACTTCCAACCTATTAGAACTTCCCCAAATTCCAGACTGCTTGTGCAATTTCCATCTTATATTTAAGAGTTAAGAGCAGTCTCACGGAAATCTTTTTACTCATTGGTTATTGCATGTAACTATCATATTTAACTTCCTTAATGAGGTTTTCTAAATATAGCACCTTCAGCTTGCCTTCACTCTTATATGTGATGTTCCAATTATATGATGACCCAGCTTTAATTTTTTAAATAATATTGTTGTTACTTAAATTTGATAAAGAAACAAGGTTGATTTAAAGTCCTAGTCTTTTTTTTTTTTTGATGTTTTTTCTTTTTTAAGATTTTATTTATTTTTGCGAGAGGGAGAGAGCACACGGGTGAGCACGAGCAGGGGGAGGGGCAGAGGGAGAAGCAGACTCCCTGCTGAGCAGGGAGCCCAATGCGGGACTTGATCCCAGAACCCTGGGATCATGACCTGAGCCGAAGAAGGCAGACGCTTAACTGAGCCACCCAGGTGCCCCAAAAATCATTTCAATTTATATTTTCAATTTATATTATCTTTTGTTTAGAAATCCAGATTATTTTTTTTTTTAGAGGAAGTTTTTTTTTTTAAAGATTTTTATTTATTTATTTGAGAGAGAGAATGAGAGAGAGCACATGAGAGTGGGGAGGGTCAGAGGGAGAAGCAGACTCCCCGCCGAGCAGGGAGCCTGATGCGGGACTCGATCCCGGGACTCCAGGATCATGACCTGAGCCGAAGGCAGTCGCTTAACCAACTGAGCCACCCAGGCGCCCGAAATCCAGATTGTTTATATATCTTTTTAAAAATCAGTCCTGCCAACGTCTTTCTGTCTGGTTCATAGAATTTCCTTAAAATCAGTTAGCAAGCATTTATTGAGAAATTCTTTTGTGTAGAGCATATAGCAATTGTCACTGAAGTATTAGAAGACAGACTTTGGGAGACAGCAGGATGGACTGGATAAAGTCCACTTGGAAAAAATTATACTAAAGATACAGATACTGGAGGTTGGTGGAGAAGAGTAGCTGAAATCCCTTCTTGGTGGGGATAGCAGGCTAAGCACCTTACCTGGTGACAGCTGAAATTTGGTTGAAGACTTAGTTAAGGTGCTGCCTATGTTTGCTTTTTAAGAAGAAATGGGATCCAGCAAGGTTGCCAAGAAAAACATAGTCCTAGAATTTGATTTAGTAAGCTCCCTAGAGAAGAGAGTATCTTAATAGTGAATCCTCAATAGAGGAGAGTTTTGTTGTTAGGTGTTTTTGAATATAAAGAGGATGACCAGAGGGATGAAGTGACTTTTCCAGTATCCTGAGTCTGGATGCCAAGACTTGACCTACATGTGACTGTTGATTGCTGTTGTGAAATTTCCCACTGGGCTTCGTGGGCTCACAGCCGCCCCTTTTCAGTGGTACTTCATCTTTGCAGCATTTTGCAATACAGACACCATCCTTGTCTGCTGTCCTTTCCTTTGCCCTTCCCCAAACCGGAGGATTTCTTTTTGCTTCAGAATGTCCTGATTCTGCATTCATGTTGAGAGCCCTTATCTCTTTTTTCCTTTTTGTTTGTATATTTACAGTAGCTAATAGGGCCAGTTGCATTAGCATTCTTTGCCAAATAAAGTTATCATTGGAAATAAGTGGTATGAGACCTCCCAGAAATTCCATTTTGAGAGCCAAGCTTAGGGTGACTTTGTGTTCTTTTTTGTCATTTCTGAAAACAAGTCTCCTTAAAACAAAGAATAATGTGAAAATAAGTAGAAGGAGGGAAGCAAAGTAATAAATTCTGGGTTAAATTTCTTTAGAAAATATCCCGGATATATTGTATCTGTTTGACTGCCTTTGTTAGTGTTCTCGTGATTTAATGTTGCTTACGCGACTGTAGTATAAGCCAACTTCAATTGAAGTATTAGGATTGGGGACTTTGGGAAAGATGCGTTGTGTTCTTGCTTGGCAAGACACTTGAGAAAGCTGTCATAGTCCTTTTTATGCATGAAACCTTGAGTAAATTGTAACATCTTGACATAGGCCAAGAATTTTCTTGTTTTTCATCTTTGTTGTCCATAGCATTGGGATAAGATAGATAAAATCTTCATTTTAACACATGGAGGAAATGAAGCGATTTGAAGTGTAATGACCATGCGTTGTGCTGTATGTTGCTATTAGAGTGTGATTTAGAGCTGCACTGTCCAGTGTGGTAGCTGCTGGCTGCGTGAGGCTCTGAAGCACTTGAAATATGGTTAGATAGGCTCCAAGTGTAAAATATACTGGATATTGAAGACTTAGTATTAAAAAATGTCTCATTGACACTTTCAAAAAATGGCTTATTTTTTTATGATTTATTTATTTATCTTAGAGAAAGAGCAAGTGTGCACACATGCGGGGGGAGTGGCAGAGGGAGAGGGAGAGAGAGAATCTCAGGCAGACTCCCCACTGAGTGAGGAGCCCAACATGGGGCTTGACCCCACAACCCTGAAAATCATGACCTGAGCTGAAACCAAGAGTCGGACGCTTAACTGAGTGAGCCATGCAGGCACCTCAGAAAAGATGGATTATTTTTTTTTTTTAAAGATTTTATTTATTCATTTATTTGAGAGAGTGAGAGAGAGAGAGCACATGAGAGGGGGGAAGGTCAGAGGGAGAAGCAGACTCCCTGCCGAGCAGGGAGCCCGATGCGGGACTCGATCCCGGGACTCCAGGATCATGACCTGAGCCGAAGGCAGTCGCTTAAACAGCTGAGCCACCCAGGTGCCCAAGATGGATTATTTTTAAATCACAAAAATCGGTTACATGTTGAAATAATACTTTTGATATATTGGATTAAATAAAGCATATTAAAATTTTAACTTTTAATGTAGCTAGTAGAAAACTTACAGTTAAATATGTGGTTCCTTTTTCTACTGGACAGTGCTAGTTGAGTATGAAAAATGGTTGCTAGGATTACAACTTAATGGTCTCTGACTTGTATAATATGAGATATGGAGGCACAGTACATGAGATAGAATTATGATACAGCTGTACATCCAGATTACTTTGATATATTTAAATTTGTTTGCTTTTTAGAAAACTAGCAAGTATTATTCCTGACTACTATTTAAAAGTCATTGCTTCAGGGCTATCAGTGAGACTTAAAAGTGCAGAACAGAGGACTTCTTTGACTCGGTACCAGCTGTAGGTTTTGCCCCTGCAGACCTACCAGCTTGAGAAGGAATCCCAGGTAGCTCTGGAGTGTTAGCTCAGAGAGGAGGGGTGGGCAAAGTTTCCTTAGGGTCAGTTCCAGGTCTTGTTCTTCTTTCTGACTAGATGGGGCACTTGTGTACAAGTAAATCTGACCCAAGTGTGGTTTAACCTCCCAAGTTCTGAAACTCACCAAGTAGGTGGACTTAAGAGACAGCAAATAGTTAAAAGTATTTGCTAGGTTTTGTTGAATAAATAGATGGTGAAATGTGAAGCAAGAACCGCATATAACCTTCATTTTACACCCAAGAACAACAAACAACATTTTTCTCATCAGCTGTGGATTTCACTTGTTTTAGAAGTATGCGAAATAAGATGTATGTGGTTTTTAGCTTTAATATTTAAAAATAATTTACTTTCTTATGTTGTCTGTTCCTTAATAATTTGAGTTGGGGTGAAAAATTCATTGGATTTTTGGATCACAATTTTGTCTTGATTTTGTAGATTTACTATTTAGCATTGGAAGTTATGCATATAATTTTGCAAAAATCAAATTTTTTGTTTGGTTAATTTATGACAGTACTGTAACAAACATTACGTTGTGTGTTGATAGGGCTTAATTTTGAGAAGGAAGTTTTCATTGGTTATAAATTTCATAGTCATAAAGCAAATAGGGGTTTACACTTGAGCATCATCAGATAGTGAGGTGGTTAGTAGAAACTGATAGACCATAGATTATCAAAATTAATAATACAGCAAACCATAATTAATACCATAACTTGAATGTAACTTGGGTGGGCAGTGGCTCTATAAATAGGATCAATTCTTTTTTTTTTTTTTAATTTTATTTATTTATTTGAGAGAGAGAGAATGAGATAGAGCATGAGAGGGGGGAGGGTCAGAGGGAGAAGCAGACTTCCTGCTGAGCAGGGAGCCCGATGTGGGACTCGATCCCGGGACTCCAGGATCATGACCTGAGGCATGAGGCAGTCGCTTAACCAACTGAGCCACCCAGGCGCCCTAAATAGGATCAATTCTAAGTGGTATGTGAAAATGCTGGGTACTAGCATATACCAGGTGATAAAATGCTGGTAAAATTGGATTTTACAGTATATTTTAGATGGGGTTTTTATATGCTTGAGGGGATTCTTGGCTTATGTCCTTTTTTTTTTTTTTCTTCTTTCCTTTTAGAATATGGTTTCTAGCTTTAGGGTTTCTGAACTACAAGTGTTACTAGGCTTTGCTGGACGGAATAAAAGTGGACGCAAGCATGACCTCCTGATGAGGGCGTTGCATTTACTGAAGAGCGGCTGCAGCCCTGCGGTTCAGATTAAAATCCGAGAATTGTACAGACGCCGATACCCACGGACTCTTGAAGGACTTTCTGATTTATCCACAATCAAATCTTCGGTTTTCAATTTGGATGGTAGCTCATCACCTGTAGAACCTGACTTGGCCGTGGCCGGAATCCACGCGCTGCCTTCCTCGTCAGTTACACCGCACTCACCGGCCTCTCCTGTTGGTTCTGTGCTGCTTCAAGATACTAAGCCCACGTTTGAGATGCAGCAGCCGTCTCCCCCAATTCCTCCTGTCCATCCTGATGTGCAGTTAAAGAACTTGCCCTTTTATGATGTCCTTGATGTTCTCATCAAGCCCACGAGTTTAGGTAAGTGTTAGAGAAATTAGTTCCTTCCAGTTAAGAGAATACCTAAAACAAGAGGCCTTCAACTAGTGATTAATGATTTGCTGTTAATACTCTAAAATTGAGACATTAATGCCAAATAAATGCCAGATAAAAAATATTGGCAACATGAATGAAATCTAGCATAGAACTGCTAATTCATCATACCAGCATTTTTATGGCTTAGAACTCAGATTACTTCTGTGTGTGTGGGAACAGGTACAAATATTGCTTGCTGTCTGCAGTTTGTGTTTTGGTATTTTTACAGAGGTTTAGTTTCTGTTTAACATAGTGTTTAAACTGCTTTCCTAAGAAATAAACGTTTTATACTTAATTTGACACACGGAGTTTGACAAACGTATTTAGCTTTTTTAATATCTGACAAGTGCTCAGAAAATGTAATAAATTTTATCATTACCAAAAATTGATACATGGGGCTTTAACAAATTCTTACCTACATAATGGCTTTTTTGTTACGGTATGATTTCTTATTGCCTAATGAAATTATTTACAGAGGTATTTGGAATTTTTGATGAAATAAATTGTTTAGGGAATGGCATTTCATAGTTAATTTGGGAGATTTTTTTTTTTTCCTCATTCTGGGAAAACTTTTTATTTCAGGTCATTTGAGAACGCTCTTAAATATATCAATATGTTCTTTTCCTTTTGTAGAGGATTATGCTGCTGTGTATCTTGGTTGAGCCAGAAGGAAATTTTGAGGGGTAGGACTGGGGATAATGGAGTCAGTATGGCCTGATTGATGGCAGGCCACGGTGGCTGTGCTTTTCCCAGCCCCTTTCTCCTTGCTTTAAATGTTTTAATTTAGCAATACTTAGCCAGGCAGGTAGAGTAATGCATTTTATCCCTTCATTATATTCATCATGAAGTAAGGATTGTGTTCACGTTTTATTATTTGTATAAAATTCTATGAGTAGAACTGCATCAAAGAGTAAGAACATTTTAATTTTAGATTCTTGATAACATGTTGCTGAAGTTTCCAGAAGAGCTCTGCCAGTTTACATTACAGGAACAAAGTGAGAGAATGTCTCTCATTGCCTTTCTTCCTGCCTTTATTAGGTGTTATTAAAAACAAATCTTGGTGATTTTGACTGGTGAAAGCTTGTATCTTGTTTAGATTTTTTTGTTTTTAAAATTAATAACTGGAGCAAACATTTTTAAATGTTTATTACCCAGTTGCCTTTCTTTTGTGCTTTAACTTTCATCTTTTTTTTTTTTTAAACAGGTTCATTTATCTGGTTAAAATGGTTCCATAATTCTTTTTATTTCTATCTTTGTCATGGTTTTTGGTTTATACCAGTGGACCATATCATGGCTCATTCCCATGTTTCTTTCTCAGCAGTTATTGCAAATTTATTTTTTTTCTTTTTGTATATATTTTGAGAAAGATTCAGACTGGTAATATGCTTAGGTGCCCCTACCTCATGGGACTCCTCAGGAGTATGGCTAAGGTGAGGCTGGAGAAGGTATAAGGGGGCCTGTGGGGTTGTAGTTACAGTGGAAGGGACTGAAAAAGACCTGGTTGCATGCCTCCAAAGGAGATGCAGCCATGTGTCTTCTCTACTCATTAGCATCAGTGGTGCACCAGGCTTTGTGATTTTCTTTCCTTATTTCCCTGCTTAGTTCAAAAATAGAAACTGGAGTTTTCTGCTTTTCTGTATTTCATAGAGTTTCTCTTTCATTACCTCCGTAAAGTTAAAGGAGAGTAGTAGGCTTTTTATAAGTTTACTAAAATAAAATTTTCCTACCTCATTTCACTTAGATAAAATAATTTTGTATTTTGTGTTGAAGAGTGGCTATGGCCTTTTGCTCATAGTTTAAATTAGAATGTAAGAGATAGCATATAACCTTAGGGCTTATGAAATAACTTTTATCCCTGAGCTAAAAACTCTCTATACATATGTTTTTCAAGAGTCCTGCCTGTCATTGTTTTTATGAATTTATAAACTGATTCTTGTTTTAAAACAATAAACATTTCCTTATCTTGCTTCCCCTAAGGAGAAAAAGAAAAGAATTTTCTTAATGTATGTAATCTTGTTTTGTCAGATTGATAAAGCAGTGATCTAAGAAATGCTCTTTTAGACTTGGAGGTAAAAAGTTAGAAAATCCACATCAGCATGTAGTCTGCCAAATGAAAGTGGAAAAAATTTAATCATTTCCAGTAATGACCTTTAATTGAAAACTTTCAGTGTCACCGTGTCTAAAGCAATGTAATGACATCCAGAAGTTTCCTTAATTTTTATTGTTTTATAATATTGAAAATACACATAAAAATAGAAATTCTGGGGAAGTCCATTTGTTTGGAATCCTGCTATAGAGAAACCTGTTTACATTTGGGGATTGAGAATTAAAAATCCTCAGGAGTCAAAAGAGATATCAAATCCATATTTCAAAGCACATATTCTTGACATCTGCAAGCCAGTCTGTGTATTCTTGATTTTATATACAGTTGATTAGATGATTTCTAAGCCATCAACATATTGTTAAGTAGGAATTGATTGACAACACGAGAGAGACTAGAAGAGCCATGGTAGAAAAAATAGACACAAGAGGTCAAAAAATGTTACTCCCAAACCTCTTGGTATATTGAAACCAATAGCCCCTTAGTAGTGAGGGAGTTGCTATTACATCATGGCCCATGTATTGATGCTAAAAAAAGAACCCAAGAAACAACCATGATGTATATATTCTATTAAAAGAGATACATTGTAATACAGTTTTCTAGTTTGGAATTATTTCTATTCAAAATGGTTAAAATAAAAATAGCATTTAAAATGGTAAACTGTGGCATCTGAAAAATAAGAGTGTACACAATACTAAATGAGGTTCTCTGTAGCTAAGGTTTTTATAACAAATGGATAACCCCAAAATTCAAAAACTAACAAATCTCTGTTCTCCTCCCTTAAATAGCTGTTCTGATTTGCTTTCACAAGCCGTCTTTCTCTCTTCTTTTCAGTTGTCTTTTTCCTTCTTTTCTTTTTTATGACAACTTTTGAAGATGAAATCCTTTGGGAATTTTCTAGTTAAGAAATTTGTCTGTATTTAATCTGTACAAGAAAGAATATATATAAAACATTAAAGTATAAAAAACATCAGTGAAATGAACACTAGTGAAATCACTACCTAGTTTTGTTTTTTGTGTTCGTTTTGTTTTTTAAAGTTGGCTCTAGCATGGAGCTAGTGCGGGGCTTGAACTCAGGACCATGAGATTGTTACCTGAGCTGAGATCAAGAGTCAGATGCTTAACCGACTGAGCCATTCCGGTGTCCCCCCACTGCCTAGGTTTTTAAAAAGAAACATTGGCAGTATCTTCAAGCCATCTCCTTGCCTTTTCTGAGTTAAATCACTATTCTGAGTTTATGTTCCTCTCCTTTTCTTGTTTTACCATATATGTGTTTTAAAAAAAGTAATGTTTCCCATCCAAGTACTAACCAGGCCCAACTTGCTTAGCTTCCGAGATCAGACGAGATCTCTTTTGTGACTAGCTCTTTTTGTTCACTCTGTTTTATAAGCTTTGTATGTTGCTACATCTAGCTATTTGGTATTTTGTGAAATACCTTCAATGTATTTTGAGCCTTTAATTCCTTAAAACTTCTTCATTGTGCTTTTCAGATTACAAAAGTAATTTATACTAGTAACTGAAAATTGAAACATCATAGAAATATAACAGAAACGTCCCTCATAATGTCATATATTACCCAGCTAGAGTTGTATCAATAGTAAACTGTTTTTCTGCATATGTTTAGTCATCTTCTTTCTCTTCCTATTCATTAAAAAGGCTTTTTCCAACTGCAGAGCTACTTTGCCACATTTCTAGTGAGAGGGGACACTGTTCTACTAGTATCCTCTGCCAATAGCACCTCCTGGAGTTCTGCATCATGATAATCTTTCTTAACAGTGTTTCTTGGAAATATAGATTTGTGGGTTAAATAGACCTGTTATCTTGTAGATGTACCATCACTTAACCAGTATTCCGTGGTGGACATTTTCAGTGATTCTCAGTTTTTTATTTATTTGAAAGTAATATTTTAGTATCCAGCATTGAGTCACTATTCTTGCAGTTTTTTAGACATTGCTGCTGTTAGCATTTTTGCATATGTGCTTCTGAATACTTGGGTGAATATTTATGAAGTATAACGCCTCTGTAAAGTTATTGGGTCAAAGAGTATGAGTACTTAGTATTTTGATACTCAGCTTTTGTTTCAGCAGTTGCTTCAGAAGCCTTGTGCCCATTTATAATCCAGCAGTGTATGAATGTATTAATTTTTTCTATACCCTCATCAGCATTGGTCTTTTAATTTATTATTGGTCTTTTAATCTTTAAAAGATGAGAAATTAATAAGAATCAACATCTTTTCATATTCTTAAATTCCTGATTATTAGGAAATAAATACTCATTAAGCTTTTGGGTACAGTTGAACAGGTTTAAAGTGATGTGCAACTAATGGAAAGCCATTAAAATAAAACCTCACTTCTAAGGAGTTTGGATAAATTCAGACACTGTACACATTGTTTTTATTAACCCAGTTAACGAGTATATAATGAGGATTTAATTTGGCTATGGTCATGTAGTCTAATTGTGGAGAAGCCAGAAGTATAAGATGGCCATTAGGAAGCTTGTTACCTAGTTGGGGAGGTAGTGTTAACATGAGAGCAAGAAGCAATGAGGTATGTGCCTGTATGATGAAGAATTATTAGTTGTGTATCTGAAACTCACATATTTTATCAGCCTCAGGAATGGGGAAGTCAGTCAAGACTTCTTGGAGTAGGAGTGAGACTTGAAGGAGCTTTGAAGTATGAATTTGTCTACTTTGAATTAATGGCATTTATAGGAGAGGAAACACCAAGAAAGGGGAGAACGGTGAGTAGTCACAGGAGTAGAAATGAAAGTGGCATAGTTATGAGACCTGACTGAGGAAGCTGTTTTGAATAGAGAGTAAGACTTGGGGAGACACTGGAAATGTAGG